CCTGGCACCACAACCAAGACCATACCCCGCTTGCCGTGGAATGGACTGAGCGCCTACAAGATCCCCTGGAAGAACCACTGTGGGCACATGGGTGGGTCCCCAGGGAACCACAGGACCACCTTCAAGTAGCCCAACCTCTACAAGGCCATGGGTGCTGGAGCTCCCTCGAAGCCCTGCCACTTCAGCCATGGCAAGGACTGTCGGTGACCCTTGACGCCACTCCGTCGTCCTATGATCCACGGTCCCAAGCATGGGTTTTTGGGCTCTGCATCCACACCTACTCGATGGAGCCCTCCTTCGCAAAGGCACCATCACCGGCATGGCCCCTGGGCCCCAAACCAAGGCACGCGCCCTGTTCCAGGGTCTTCTAACCTTAGCCCAGCACGTCCTCACGCCGGTGAATGTGGTCGTTCAGCTGGGGTCAGTTTGGGAGGCATGGACAAACCCACGAAAGCGGCATGGGTTTGAAGATCTCACCAAAGGCATTGAGCACCACGTGTTCCAGCAAATCACACCACTGTACATCCACAAGAACACACGAACACCGGAAGCACCCGGCAATGAACCCCATCTCCGACGGAGACAACGAGATGCTGCCCTTGCAGCCTACGAACGAGCATGCACACTCTACGACAAACAGGCTGAGGACTGGCAAAAAACCCTCGACCAGGACCACATGCGCATCTACAAGCAGGCAGCAGCCCGGCTGGAGAAGATTTTCAAAGACCCACAGCATTACATCCACGACAAACCAGTCCGCCGAGCGGGACACACCACGAAGCAATACAAGAAACGACTCATCAACCAATGCAAGCTCCCATGGCAGCCAAACAAGCACCAATGGGCCCCTCACCGGAGCGGGTACCAATGCCACACCTGCCACGCCCGAGTGCATCAGGGCCTAACGGTCGAAGTCATTGAGCAACACCTCCAGCAGGATTGCCAACTCCTGACCCATGAAGCCCCAGAACCTGACCTCCGGCCAAACAAACCGGTCGGCCAAAGGCACACGAGGGCCAGCACTATAAAGCAACTGCTTGAAGTGCAACAACAGCACCCACAGGCCCCGGATGAGCATACTTATCAGGAGACCACCGGATACCTCAAGTGTGTGAAATGCAGCCTGTCCATCCATAAAAGGACCAATGAAGCCAACTTCCGCGACTTCCTCCACAGCCGCTGCATAGACGAAAGGTATGCCAAAGATCACGACGCTCACCACACACATGCGCTCTGGCAGAAGGGGAAGGGCATCCGCTGCACCAATTGCGGCACGCAGAGCCACCTCGATGCAGAAGACCGAGTCATTTTGACCAAAGCTCTCAAGAAACCATGCCAGGGCCAAAGCCAAATCTCACCAACCTTGGTGCAGATCTTTAGCACCCAAAGCCAACACAGTCAGGGCAGCAGTCAGGCTACCAAAGCCACCAAAACTGGCCATGAAACCCAGCCACCACCGACACAGGCAGGGCCCAACCCTGACGCCCCAGGACTTATGTCCCCGCCAGTACCAAAGAAACTCCGCTTCTCGCCCAGGGGTGACCACTCCGCCCACGAGAGCAGCCCCCATGAACAAGGGGAAGAGGAAGCCGGACAAGATGACCCATGCATGGAAGTCGACTACTTCTGAAGTCCCGGGCCTGACGACCTCCACCGGCGGCCATGGACTCCGTGGTTGACCCCTGAGCGCCGCTGCCAGTGAGGCAAAACTGCCTAGGAAGAACCTGGCCAAATGGCCCAGAACCCTGCCACTTTAGAAGGAAAAACATACATACATACATACATACATACATACATACATACATACATACATACATACAT